GTTCCTGCCCCACGTGGACGGGGCGCCCGTGCCCTACGGCAGCCTCACGCTGGACCTCTTCATGCTGGGCTACTTCCAGCTCCTGGAGTGCGACCTGCCGGCTGAGGAGCGGAAGATGCGCCACCTGCTCTGCTTCGAGGTGTTCGAGCACCTGGGCGCCCACGGCTGGGAGGCCGCGCGGGCCTTCCACAAGGCCGTGACCGACGAGGTGGCCGCGGGCCGCCGGGCCTGGACCGACGGCTTCGAGGACATCAAAGCCCGCTTCTTCGGCTCCAACCGCAGCCCCGCCTGGGACGCGGAGCCCGGCCGCAAGCTGGGCCTGACCCCTCTCGGGCCCCTGCCCCACGCCACGGCCCCCGGCGGCAGCCCGGAGCCCGCAGCTCAGCGGCTGGGGACCGCCTCCCAGCGGGGCAGCTTCAACAGCGAGGACATCTGCGGCTACATCGACCGGAGCTTCGCGTTCTGGAAGGAGAAGGAAGCAGAGATGTTCAGCTTTGGGGACTGAGACTTGCCCTGGCCGGTGTGGCCCAGTGGTTAGAGCGTCAGCGCACAGACTGAAGGGTCCCAGGTTTGATTCCGGCCAAGGGCACGCAGCTGGGTGGCAGGCTCGATCCCCGGCCCTGGTCAGGGCTCACGCCGGAGGCAGCCAATCGATGTCTCTCTCACATCGATGTTTCTCTCTCTCTGAGAAGCAATGGAAAAAATATCCTCGAGTGAGGGTGAAAAAAAAAAAAGAGATCTGGAGACTGAGACGCTGGCAGCCCCTTCGGGAGCGACCTGGGGTGGTTCTGGGTTTCTCTCCTGCCCTTTTTCACCCACCTGGCGGCCAGGTGAGCCCCAGGCCAGGTGGGCAGACACTCGGCCTGCCAGCGCCCTCCCTCCTGCCCTGACAGAGCTCCCTCCTCAGCGCTGGGCTCAGCCTCAGAACCCTTCTCACCCCCAAATCCAAGAAGCCCTCTCAGCTCTCATTCGGCCCTGAAGTTGACAGCTTGTGTCCCAGCCCCAGGTCCTTCTGCCCACTGTCCCCTGGCACCTGGGATGCTAACTGTGTTTCCATGGCCCCCGTTCTCCCGGTGCCTGGGTATCCTGTCCCGCAGCGTCGGGCTGGTGGTCCTGGCCGCGTCCAGAGCCTCCACGTGCCCTGCGCCGGTCCTGCCTCGGTTTCTTCTGCTGACCTCAGGCCTTGCCCTCCACCTCCCCAGGTCTCTCTTTCCGCGTCTGTGAAATGGGAGAGGACTTGGAGGTGGAGAGGACAGGATTCCATGGGCAGAGGCCTTCCTGTCTGACACAGCTGCTTCCTGAGTTCTCCGGGTCAGGGGGATGGTTCACACGGACGTGGGTGCTGGTCACACGCAGCCAGACACTGACGCACACGTGCCCACCCCAGGGTGTTCCAGGAAAACTGGTTCCAAAGAGAAGGCTCCCTGTGGGGCTCCTGTCCTCGGTTTCACAGCCCCCCCCCCAGGCCACAGAGCTGAGGCAGTGGCAGGGCCTCACCTGCAGGCTCGTGGCAGCAGGGACAGCTGTGCCACAGGCGGTGGCTGCAAAGCAGCTCTGAGCAGAGGGAGCCTAGCGAACTCGTGGCAGGGGCGGGGGCCTGTTAGCCGGACCCTGATGAGGTTCAGCCCCTCCCTGGGGTCACCCTGATGTCACCCATGGGGGTGGACGCTCCCTCAGGGTCGCCGAGCTGCAGAGCATCTCGTGAACAGGTGGTGGGGTCAAGCCCCAAGCAGCTGTCCATGGGACAAGCCTTGAATGGTTGTCCCGGCCCCATGGCAGCCAGAAGGACGGGCCCCCCCAGGCTCTGGGGTTTGCCCAGGGGGCTTTGGGGGAGGGTGACCAGCAGCTGTGTGAAGGCCCCAACGGGCAGTGTGTGGGGAGGGGCCTCAGGAACTTCCCCTGGTCTCCGCCTCCCTGCAGCCAGGCCCCTGTGCGTGTCTCCAGAGCCCTCCGGTCAGCCCACTCTGGGTCCCACAGGGGGAGACACGTGGGGAGATACAGAGTTGGGGGTGTTGGGCTCCCAAGTTTGCTAAATAAAGACTCCCATTCCTGGCCCGTCTTCACGCTGTGCTTGCTGCCCCCGGGGAGCATCCTGTGCCCAGAGCGGGTCCCAGCTCTGGACGGGCACTGAGACCTGGGTCCTCATCTCAGCTTCACCGAAACACCAGAGGCCCCGCCTTTAGCCCCCAGAGCCTCCACCTCGTCTGTAAAGTGGGGTTCAGTGCTGACCTGCCACTCCCAGGGTCCTGATGAGGGTGCACTGAGGTCCCATATGGGAGGGGTCCTGGGACGACAGTGACACTCGCCCACCTGTGGCCATTATTCAAAGAGCAGGTTCCAACGAGCAGAGCACCAACCCTGGGCCCCCACGGGCACCTCAACGTTGTTTCCCAGCTCCTGGCCCCAGAACACGAGTGATGGGGCCAGACAGGCTGCCCAGGGCTGAGTGAGCCCTGGGGTGGGGGCATCAGGAGATGCGGGCATTTAGTATCTCCATGCCCATGTGCCACCTATAGGACAGTGTTGTTCTGAGGGCCGGGCAAAGGAAGGGGCAGGAATGGGGGTGGGTGGGTTGTGGACACGGCCTGGCCTCAAAGGTGGTCTGCTGGCTGGGGTGCTCAAGAGAACACGACGGGGCCAGGACCCCCGACTCTGACATCCCTGCCCATCTCTGTGGCCTCGGGCAAGTCCCTCTCAGCCTCTGGACCTGTTTCCCAGCGGAGGGTTTGGGCCAAGGCCAGCCGGGGGAGCCTCGCAAGGACCTGGGGTCAGGGTGGGCTGCCAGGGGAGGGGCGAGGTGGGGGCTCACACCCGGGTTTGAGGCCTGGAAGGAGGGAGAAGCCACCTCAGTAGACACCCTGCTTCTGGGGGTTTTATAAAACCACGGTGTTCTGGGGCCAGCCCCACCCTCTGAGCCCCTTGGCCGGGCCGCTGCTGGGAAAGCCGGTGCCTTTCACCACGGCCCAGGTGATCCCGATGCTCCGCGGCCTGGGACCCGCCGCTGCGCTCTCACGGGGGAGCAGGGCCCCTTGCGGTAGTCGCCTGGCCCAGCGAGGCCCGTCGGAGGACCCCGGAGCCCCTGCCCGAGCTGCAGACCCGGCCCCAGGTGAACGCAGGGGCGTCCTGGTGAGCTGGAAACGCTGCAGAGAGGGAGGCCCGCGCTCTCCCCGGCTGTAAACGTGTGAAGGGCGCTATGAAGGAAACCGGTGCCCCGGAGGCGGCGAGAGAATGTCCACCTCCTCGCGGCTGGAACAAACCCGCCCTGCCACAGGCTCGACACAAGGTCGATCTTTTTCATGACTCTCAAGTTCATTTGAAAGAAACAATCAACAGAGCCAGCTGTGGGGGCCAGATGTCAAGGGCCCGCTGCCCTGGCGGGCAGCTCGGCTGGTTAGAGCGTCGCCCTTACACGCCGCCCCGTCTCTCCCTCTAAGGTCAATCCATAAAATTACTTTTAAAAGCAGGCCCCCAGTGCCCCCCACCTTCCGGTAGTCACATCCTGTGTGTCTCCCACGTTACACCGCGGAAGCGGGGGACCTCCCTCCCAAGTAGGTGCCGAGGCTCCCGTCTTCGCTGCTCCCGCCTCTGGGGAAGCCGCTGCCGGGGGAGCAGCCCTGTGCCGGGCCGAGTGTGAGGGACCCAGGCCACCCGCCCCGTCCAGCCTCCGGGTGCCTCCCTGGTGCCAGCTGAGGACAGAGCCACCCCGAAGCTGTGAGGTAGGAACTGTTTGTTGTTTGAAGACACTGGACTGCAGGGTCACTTGCTACGCACACGAATACGCCGGGCGAGAGCACTTCGGACGGGAAGCCGTCCTAACTGGGGAGCAGCCGCCCATCAGACCAGGGTCTGACCCCGGAGCACCGTCCCTCGGCAGCTGGGACACTTCCCCGACGGCCCTGCCCGGACACAGCTGCAGCAAGTCCGCGGGGAGAAGGGACTGCCCGTCGCAGTCCCGGGGGCGCTGTCGACTAAGGAAAGGAAAGGAGAGGATGACCTCATGGCCCCCCCGTGACCCAAATAAACCCGAGGGAGTAAGAGGCACCCTGAGCGTGAACGGCTGCAAGACACCCGCGGGGGGGGGCCTGGCTCCGCCAGGTCGGCCTCACAGCAGGCGAGCGCCAGGCAAGCACAGGCGACAGCGATGCCTCCCCAGGGGGACGGCGCGCCACTCGCCCGAGCGGGGCGCCCCTGGGCTGTGGAGATGACCGCACTTTTTTTTTTAGTTTTTTTATTGATTTCAGAGAGAGGCAGGGAGAGGGGGAGAGAGAGAGAAACATCAATGGTGAGAGAGTCATCGATCTGCCTCCTGCCCGGCCCCCGGGATCGAGCCCACAACCCGGGCACATGCTCTGACCGGGAGTCGAACCCTGACCTCCTGCTTCATAGGTTGATGCCCCGCCCCTGAGCCCCGCCGGCCGGGCAAGACGCCCCCACTCTAACCCAGTGTTTCACTCACTCTCTGACCCAACTCTGCAGTCACAGGGGTGACACTGTTCTAGTCACTGTTGGCCCAAACGGCACCCAACCCGAGTGTCCGTCAATAGAAGTGACTGGACGTCACCCCCAACTGCTCAAGGTGCGGTGGGTCCCCAAGAGGACGAGATTGAAAACCATGCTTCCCAAAGACCAGTCGCATCAGAAGTGCTTTCGATGCAAGTGACAAAGCAGGTGCAGGCGACAGGCGGCAGCCGGAAAGGGGGGGCCGCTGCGTTCGGGGGGCTGCCTTCCTGGCCGCCTTCCCTGCTTCATATTTCTCTCCATTTTCCAAATTCTCCACAATGAGCATGCGCTGTTTTTTTGTTTTTGTTTTTTCATAAAAAGAAATCAGCAGTGTACTTGCTGTTAATCTCACCCGAGGATTTTTTCCATTGAGTTTTAGAGAGTGTAAGGGAGGGAGCCGGGGGTGGGGAGACTGACCGGGAAGCAAACCCAAGACCCTTGAGTGGGAGGGCCGACCCTCTAACCACTGAGCCACACGGGTCAGGGCCCAGCAGCGTATTTTTAAAAACTGCACCACTCGGGTGGCGATCTGTTGACGAGGATCCGGTTTGAGCCCCGGTATCGAGTTTCCCAAACTGACTTGTCATGTGAGGTGCTGAGCCTACCGTCCCCATGTCCCTAGAAGGCCTCCCTTCTGCGCCCAGCTGGGCAGCTCCCCGCGACAGCAGCCTCTCACCAGAACCCCGTCCTTCCTCCAGCGTTAACCCCTGGTGCTCTGCCTGCAAACGGGCAGTCGGGGAGACAAAATCCTCTGTTCTCCCCCCAGCACCCTCCCTGGGATGGCGCTAGATAGTGACAGCTGGGACGTCCCTGAGGGTCCCCTCCCCCTGAATGAGGCTAATGCCCAAGGCTGGGGGGAAGTCCTGAAACTGTCCGGGGCGGGGACAGGGCCTGGGGCTGCGCTGGGCAGCACAGGTCGGGAAACCTGAGCGAGCGGCGTGTGGCACCGCCCGGTGAGCGCCCGCCGGGGCCTCGCCCGCTGCGGTAACTGAGCAGCTGGCCCTGCGCGGGGCGGCTCGCGTCCTGGGCGCTCGCAACTGTCTCCTCAGCAGGCTGCAGGGCCAACAGCCTCGCTGGCGGGGCGGGCTCCACTTGCCCTGGACCCAAGCTCTCGGGACATCCTGCTACCCTTGAGAAATTATCTAACACTGCCCGGAGTTCAGGCTGTCACCCTGGGGGCCACCTGGGCCTCTCGGCACCGTAAGACCATCAGCCAGTCCCTAGTGGTCACTGGGAGGCCTCCGTCAGGCTTGGTCCAACCTGGCACTGCCTCGTCCCCACACACCTAGAAGCGGTTGTATCAACAAGGCCCACGTGGGCGAAGGAAGGAGGGGCCAACAGGTAGCGGCCGCCACCAGGCCACCCCAGGTGGCGGCTTCTCTCCCGTGTCCCTGCAGGCCTGTGGCTCAGAAGCTTTGCTACGACCACTGGCATGAGAGACTCCAGAGACCCCTCAGCATCCTGGGCAAGAGCGCAGGCGAGCCCCAGACGTGAGGGCCCCTGTGACCGCGAGGCTCAGCCCTGCAGGGGAGGCCGCTGCTGCTGGATTTTAGGTGACCATTTCTTGGCCCGTGGCAGCCCTGAGGCCAAGGCCACGATATGATAGGGACAGGGCTCAGGATCCCACATCCCCGCCACCAGCCTGGGCAGGGCACTTCGGATGCCTGCTCACCTCTCTGGGCACCCCCTTCGCCACCAAGACTGCCCCGCTGCCCCGGGGACCCCAAGTTTTGGAAGCCTTTGCTGACCAACTGCATCTCTTCATGGTGGCACCTCGTCCCACATGGCAGAAGATCCAGAGGCCGCATGGGTGCCTGTCAGTGACCACAGAGAAGCTAGTGCCTGTTGGGCAGAGCTGGGCCCCTGGGCACCCTCCTGAGTCCCCAGCACAGGCTCCATCATCCCCCCTCCCAGAGGAGGAAGCAGAGGGGAAGCCGCACCCCCCAGTTAGCCCGCAGGGAGGGGTGAAGCCCAGACTCACCCGATCCTGGAATGTGTCTGGCCCCTGGTCCCAGAGGCCTTGGCCTTCCTGCTGTGATGTGGCTCGTGGACACTTTCAGAATGGACAGCCCAGAAGGAGACGACACTGGCCTCCTTCCCCCACCGGCCCATCCCTCACCGCCAGCCCTCCCTCCCAGTGCAGAGGCTAAAAATACCCTTTCAGCCCCACGTGGTCACCCGGCCCTCCTGGCCCCCTCGGCCAGCTGGCCAGTCCTGTCCTCCAGTCTGAGTCCTCAGCAACGGGGTGCAGGGGCCCACTGAGAGGTAGGTCCAGGGGGCTCTGGAGAGGGCCAGACGGGAGGGAGTGGGGGGACTGGGAGAGAGTGGGTTACAGTGGGACACCCTGTGGGCTCGGAGATCACAGTGCTGGGTACTTTGGAGAGAGACCGGGGACCGTGGTCAAGCCCACCCTCAGGGTGGGGTAGGGACTCAGCAGGCCAGCTTTCCTTGGGCCAGGAGGAGGCTGCCCCACACCCTGACTGCAGCCAGGGCCGCGGCACCCAGCGTCCGGCCGGAGCTGGATTAAGGCCCTTCCTTTGCTGCCCTGCCTGCTCAGCCCTCCTCACACCTGGCCGGGGACAGGAACCGGGGTGAGGCTCTGGGACCCTCCAGAAGCCCGCCCTGAGCTGGGACTGCAGCGTGGCAGGTGTGGGGATTGTGGCTGGGCATTCCGGCCCCTGGCGCCTGTCCTGGCAGCAGTGGGCCAAAGGGAACTCAGCAATGACCGGAATGCAAGGCCTGGGGGCGGTGGCTGACTCGCTAATCTCCTGCCAACCCAAGCTTGGAGCTTCGGAGGGCAGAGCCGCCATCACCGGCCAGGGGGCCTCCCCGGGAGGGGGTCAGGCAGGGTGGACACTTGCCGGGCCCACTGACCGGTCGGTCCTGCCCGGCACGAGCCCAGACAGGTTCTCAAGCCCCCAGGTGGGTTCCCTGGCTCCGTTCCTGCTCTATAAAACGGGAATGGGCACCAGTGGGGTAGGGGAGAGGCCGTCAGCTCCCACCACCGGCACCTGCATCACAGCCCAGCAAGGCCTCCCCACCCCTGGGCCTCTATCGTTCACGCTTCTCTTTCTGGGGCTTTGTCCCCTGGGACGTGCTGCCGGCTCAGGGAGACGCCCCCTGCTGGACAGACTGTCTCTGGGGTGCAGCTCCTCACAGCCGTGGGAAACTCGGGGTGAAAACCTCCATGAAGCCCGGTTCTTTCTGCGGGGAGGCTTTGTTAGAGTAAAATATCAGAAGAACATAAGTCAACGTGCACGTAACTAATAAGCCCGGAAGTGGACTTGATGAGTCAGACGACATGCGCACTGGGACGCGAAATCCCTCTCCAGAAAGTTTCCCGTAGCTTGCACCCGGGGACATGGACACCCGGGAGTTCAGCAGGGGTCCCCAGCCTGGCTCCCCCACTTCCTGCTGTGTGACCTTGCACACGTGCTACTAGAGCGTTTTGTGCCTCGGTTTTCCCACCTGTAAAGGGACTCAGAGAGCACGCGCATCAGAGGGTTGTGTGCATGGCGAGGCCATGGGCCCCCCTGGGACGCGGCCAGGGGCGCAGGAGCACTGTCGGCTCGAGCTTCTGGGGAGGCTGTGAGCACCACCCCCGTCACCACCGGCCTCTCAGCCAGCTGTGGAGGAGACTGGGGCCGTAGACACCAGCAGGGTCATGCAGGCCTAGGCTCCTTGTGACCAGGACGGTGGGGCAGGAACCCTCTCAGCTGTCCCAGCACCCTCCCAGCAGTGGCGGATCTGGGAGCAGAGGAAGCCATGGGTGCCCAGCCAAGGCTTGCTCAGGGGTGGGAGGCACTGGTGCCAAGGGGACCCCCGCCCCAGCTGACCCTGCTCCCCCCTCCCCC